AATGGTTAGGAAGATTTATTCCATTCTTAGGAGTGACAAAAACCCAAGGTTTATGGGATGTTGTTGTGAAGCAGTTTTGGTATAACAGTACATGTTGAATTTGTGCTGGCTAGACGAAGTTTGAATATTGAGACATATGCAACTAAGATTGTTCAATAAACTCTGTTACTTTTTACCATCATCACTTCGTCTCCTGCTTCTGCTCTTCTCTGGTTTTCCTCGGTCAACTTCTTGACTGACAGAAGACTGTTAAACACTAGTTTTGGGTATTTTTGGATACCAGACAAGACTTGCTGTTGACAGGGTTTGGGTATTAACAGCGCTGCTGACTAGTTGTTCAGTTACTGGACAAACTGATATTTTCTGACGGGATCTGGCATCCGGGGCTGGATCCTAAATATTATCTGGTGTGGAGACCCGATCTAACAACGACCAAGAGGTTTCCTGAATATCAGCATGATTTCAATGTGACATTGATTTTATACAATAATTGTTCAATAAACCAATCATAGTTCCAATCAAAGCCACAGCAGAGCTGTTGTGTGTCTCCAAGTAACACAGGAGTGTTTTGTTATGGAATGAATCCACATTTTTAAACAAACTGAGTGAGTCAATAGCTGCGTCCCAAATGACGCACTATACATTACGCACTTATACACTATGTACTTATCCACTATGTACTCAGCATGTAGCGTATGAATTATATAAGGTTATTTTGTCATTCATAATCGAAGTCTGATAGCTCCTCCCCCTTCTCTACACATTTAAAGCTGTGACAGTTGAGTGTACGAAGTGTCCAACATTCCACACTTCATTTTTTCGGTTATGTAAGTGCATCGTTCGGGTATTTAAAGTACACTATTTATTTTTGGAATTTTCAGTGTGAACGCACTGCACGCACTATTTATACTACAAAACGTCATAGAATATAGTGCATAAGTACGAGATTTAGGATGCACCTAATGATTCAACGGCCCATTCACAAAGATAGTCACTTGCCTAGTTTCTGAATGAATCAGCCGTTTGAATGAATTGGTTTTCATGGTAGTCATTTGCCGCCATTTACTGGTGGTCTGGTTTCATATTTTAAAGGGGTCATATGACATTGCTAAAAAGAACATTTTCCACATACTGTACATTATTGTTGCTCCTCTATGCCCTGCCTTTCTGAAACGCGTCGATTTTTACAAAACTCATCGTTCTGAAAAGCGAGGTATACGCTGATTGGCCAGCTATCCAGTGCGTTGTGACCTCAACCAATAAAACCCATTACAAACGAGGCATTTGTTGCATCCAGTGGAGACATAATCACGGAATATAATGACTCATACGGTCTTTTTACGCGTTGCATATCGCGCCACTTAAACATAAAACCATGTCTGCATTTGTGATCGGAGAAATGACAAACAAGCGCTACTCTATACTGCTCAAAACTCGTGTGTAATCGTCAGTGGCAAATTCTTTAAATATGAAAACGTACTTACAGGCTGTGAGTCAGAAGTGCCAGACTGTCCTTGCAAAGTTTGAATTGCCCCACTTTATAGAAACAACCTTTGTGCACAGCATTGTAGGCAACTCTCCCAGGTTCAGGAAGCAGTCCTCAGTAAAATGCACTGCACACATCTGAATATTTGGGTTGAACTGTTCTGGAACAGTGTTGTAAATACAACTTAACCACTGATTTCTCGTTGTGTCCTCTTTTGGAAGGTCAAACAAAGTAGTTTCTCCTTCACAACGAAACACACAGCGTCTCCACGACATGGCAGCTACAATACAATACAATACTAGGGATGTAACGATTCACTCAACTCACGATTCGATTCACGATTTTGATTTCTCGATTCGATTCATTTATTTTTTATTTTTTGGGAAATAAATGATAGAAATTAATACTTTTATTTAGCAAGGATGCTTAAAATTGATCAAAAGGCCGATGATAAAGGCATTTATAATGTTACAAAAGATTTCTATTTCAGATAAATAGTGTTCATATCGATATCGGAATTATATCGTATCGACTGAAATTAAGAAATCTATCATGATATAAATTTTGGCCATATCGTCCAGCCCTAATTAAGTTAACTAGATTTTTTGCATTTTACTTGTATTAACAGTTTAAACCTAATTGGATGCAATTCCTGTTTGAAATGATGGTTCCTCTGATAACCCTAGTTAAAAAGAACTGAGAAGTAGTTTTGCTCAAAGTTCTTCCAATCCATATGATGTGAACATGATCACAGTTCTGCTGTTGAAAATTACAGCACTTACACGACACTACAAACATCTGTTTCCAGAGTTTGTATGTGATGGACGAGGAACAGAGCTATCGTGACTGCAGTGTATTTAAAAGAACAAAAAATTTAAAAGAACTGTTCACTCAAACAAAAAATTGCTAGTCGGGACATTTAGACGAACCAATGAATGATTAACATATAGCTGTCCAAGCAAATTAAGCTGGGATAGAAATAATTTTAACAACAACAAAAAAAAAACAGCACATAACCTAAAAGGCAAGGCTTCAAATTATTGTGCGAGGTGTACGCTGATTGGCCAGTTATCCAGTGCGTTGTAATTGGCTGAATGCCTCAAGCGTGTGACGGAAATGTTACTTCCCTTACCATACTGTGATGCCGTGTACCGGCGTGATGAGACAACACCAATAAAACCCATTACAAACAAGGCATTGTTGCATCCAGTGAGGACATAATTATGGATTATAATG